TCTCTCTCTCTCTCTCTCTCTCTCTCTCTCTCTCTCTGTTTCTCTGTTTCTCTCTCTCTGTCTCACACGAGTGTGTGTGCACACATGGAAAACAATTATTTTGAAAAAAGAAAAGTAAGAGAAAAAGGAGGCTGTTAGAGTAACAGGCCTGGGATCAGGGAGAGGCGAGAGAAGGGCCAGGGAGGGTAGGACGGGGAGTGGATATGAGTAAAGAATGTTCTATGCCTGTATAAAAAGGCACAGCGAAACCCATTATTCTGTATAATTAATGTGCCCTAACCCCCCAAAAAATTGGATTGAAGAAAACTAGAGGTTATATCTGCATTACAATGAGACAGTTATTTTTAAAATTAGAGTAGCAGTTGTCAAAATGATTCCTTCTTGAAAGTTAAAATGCTGAGCATCTGACCTCAGCTGCATGAATGAGGACAGTGTATGTGTTTCAGTGGTGCCCAGAGTCCTTGTTTTCCTAGTGAAAACCTGTCCTGGAGGACTGTGGAATGAAAAGGAGCTTTAGGAAAAAGCCCCAAATTACTGTACTAGGTGTTTTAAATACTGCTTTTATCCTTATTTATTTATTTAGTTAGTTAGGGGTGTGTGTATGTGTGTGTATGTGTGTGGGTCAGAGGACACCCTTCTGCTTTTAGTTTCAGACAGTGGGTCTCCTTGGCCTGAACCTTTCTAAGAGCTTCCAGGGATCCACTTGTCTCCCATCTCACCATCCCTGGGACTGCAGGCATGAGGCGTGTACCATTGTGTCCAGCTCTTTATGTGGGTCCTGGGGATCCAGACAGTTCTCACCAATTGAGATATTGTCCCAGCTTTTATCACTTAGCTGGAAATGCACTTTCCTGGAGCTGGTGCTAATCATACAAACAGGAGCATGCATGTTCCTTCCGAAAGTCCCTAGGTTCTCTGCTCTAAGGAAGATGGCAAAGTGGAGAGATGTGTGACCTTGTGGTCTTGATGTCCAGGCATGGGAACAAGCTTTGGCAGTTACCTGTTATGTGATGCATGTAGGTGGCCAGTCCAAGGTACTGATGTATGTTCTTCCATACATCATGATATAGCGCTCCACGCTGATGGATGTTAAACAAATCAAACGGGCAGTTGTCAGGTTGGTTTGCCATTTCTGCTTGAGGACAGTATGGGTATCCAGAGTAGTGTCTCATGGAAGAAGCCCGAGGGAGTGTCAGTGGTAGAGGCTGTGAAGACCCTCTCCTGAGAGACAAGTGCTAGGCCAGAGGAGTCTGTCAGATTTGACCTGAACAGAGGGCACATAGGGAATTTCAAGGTGGGAGTGAGGTAGGCAGGGCCAGGTTGAGGGGATTGGTGTTCTCCTGGGTTGGAGGGTGCTCTGGACCCCTTAGGTATGGCTGGGAAGCCAGTGTCAATCAGACAGACCTTGGTAGGGAAGGGGCTCTGGGGAAGGCTACATGCTTATTGTGTCTGGACTTAAAGGGGTGCAGGACTCAGAGCTGGGCCCAGCCTTCTTGCTCCTCAGAGCACTCAGTTGCTTTTTTGCTGTCATCTCATCTCATTTGAATGGGTAGGCTGTGGGTTGTGAACCGTGAATGGGTAGGCTGTGGGTTGTGAACTGTGCTTTGTGGAGAACTCGCCTGTACCTGGCACTTGTTCATGTTGCCCAGTGGACCTTACCTTTTCTCAACAAGCAGCTTTGCAATTTTCATCCTATGACTTTCTAAAGTCAAGATACAAGAAGTCTAAGATACAAGAATTTAGATTCCTGTGTCTTACTTCTGTAAACCTCCCTTTCCCTGTTCAAGGGAATCTGTTTCATATGGTCATTTTTCACTAATGAACATAAACTTACAAGGTTAAATTTTGTCCCAAATGGCCTCAGATGATTAGATAAAGGTAGTTATAATCAGCATGACAAGTCTTACAAAGGATGACACTGTGATGGTGTTTGGTAACAGATTGGGAGTCCCTGCAGTTCTGAATGTTAATACCAGCACCATCAAAAAGTACTTATTAGATGGGAAAGCTTGTTTTTGAATCTGAATATTAGAGACTTTTGGTATTTCTCAATGTCACTATCGATAATTGGCATCTGCATTTCCTCCTTTATTCAGTCGATAAATATTTAACACCCATTATGTTCCTGGCATGGTATTAGACTCTGGGGAAAGTTAACAAAGAAACTAAAAGGCTAGGCTCTGCCCTCAAGAGGGACATAAAAGAAACAATTACATCTAATTGTTTTTAAGACTGAGCAGTGTTAATGCAGTTTCTGGTCAGCTTGGTTGCCGGGGAGAAAGGACCATGGATGCCTCTTGAAGGCTACTGGCCATGTGGTCACTCCAACCCTTCCTGAGCATTGCTCTGTCCTTGGCCTCCTGTGCTCTCAGGGTTTATCAGTGTTGGAGGACAGGGCTCAGGCCCCTCTGGCCAGCCATGGCTCCTGGTGGCCTATGATCTGATTAAACACAGATTGCTTCTTTCCATCTCCCTGCAGTGCAGACTATTCATCTTAACACGTGGCTGAGAGCTCCTGACATGGAATTCCTAGTCTGATATGAGGACAGAAACATGCACTAACATTTGCGGAGAGAGCTCTTGCTTAGCTTTCTGCTGCAACATGCCTAGCTGCTGCAGGATACTTGACACACAGGTAGTTGCAATTCCATTCCCAACCAGGAGGCTGGTGGAGGAAAGGGGGCTGGGCCCTTCATCTGTCTGACCTTGAATAGAGTCTCAATAAATGTGCAGTGACTAACTCGTGATTGAAATATACAGGGCCATGAGTTCAGGCCACTGCTTATTGACAGCCTCAACTGAAGGAGGTATTATGTGTAGGAGACTGGTAGCTAGTGATGGAGGGCAGACATCCTTGAAGAAAACCAAACTTATATTCTAGGACTTTGTATGGTTTCCTTACAGTGGTCAAGGTCTAAGCCAGGTGTTTCTGGGTTCTTGGCCTCTTATCCAAAGAATTGAAAATGGTTCATGTAGATTTCCCAAAGTAGCAAGATAACTATTCAGAGTGAAATGATGGTATGGGTTGGAGAAGGATACACTGTCAGGATTGATAAGGGACCACACGAGTGAGACTATGCAAGGGTCTCAGGCTATAGCCTGGGGTCTCTTTTGATGGGATCTAAAGGAAGGAGGAGTTGGTTACAAAGGGGTACAGTTTGGGTGTTTATTTTGATTGATGGATTAGGTCATACATTAATTTTTCCTACTGTGCATGTCACTTCCCATAATGCATCTAATTTAAATCATATGCAGGCTCACTTATGCATAGGCATAAGATGGTAAATAGGGGATTCTCCCTGAAAGTTCAGTTGAAGGATGTCGATTGCCATACTGCTCATGCAGCCAAAACCAGTTTAGGCCAGATTGGTCTTTGCATTTTTTGTACCCAGATACACTGAGAATATACTTGAATAGAAACTGTCTACATTTGACTGTTGTTAGGGGCAGAGAAATACACTATTGTTCAGAGATGAAAGTAGTGTAGCCCAGTGTGTAGGGGGTTCTGAGGTTTCTGGGAGCATTGCTTGGAGAGGAGTGTGTGCATACAAGCAGGTGAGGAGCTAGGCTGCATTCTTAGAAGAGGGGGGATGTGTATAACCAAAACCAAATGGGGTCCCAGGCTACTGTCTACCCCATGGTCATGGACCATGGTCAGTCAGTTAACTCTGCAAACACTTGTTTTAGCACTTGTGTGTGTAGAATGTGTTGGGAATGCCAGGGAATCCCCTAAGGCAGGACTTCCCAAACTTGTATGCATATTCAGGTCATCCAGTGAGTCTTGAAAATTCCCAAGCCCAGGCCACAGCCCCAACCAGCACCCTCCAGTATAGCACATAGTGAGTAGTTTGGAAGCCCTTCCAGAGACAAGTGTGCAAGTCACTACCATAAGGAGTGTGTAAGGTAGTTGTTGATAACACATCTGAAAATTAAATACTGATGGAAGATGGCCCTGCAGAAAGCCTGCTGGGTAGACTGAGGGATTCAGAACTCCATCCCTGCCGAGTTCTCTACTTCACTTGTGTGTCTAGGGAGTAGTGGCAGCAAGCCAGATTGGTTCAGAAGGACAGGTGCTCCTTTTGACCTTGACTCAGGCAAGGATGCCCTGCATGATCCTTTGGAATGATTGGTGGAACGGACCAGTATGTAGAGAACTTGACTATTCATTGCCCTTTACGTGGATGAGTTTTGTTGTTTTTTTACTATAAGACAAACTGCTGGCTATCCATGGGCCCGTTTCTAGTGGATGTGACTGAGCACAATGAGGTAAAGCAGATCCCTCAGGACAGAAATTCTCAGCGTCATTTCTTGATACTTGTGCTCTTCTGCCCTTTTAATGGCCATGCTGAATATCCCTGTGTGTGCAGATCAACACACAAATGAGCCATTTTATGTGGGCAATTCAGTACCCCAGGGTCTTGTGGAGCGGTGAGCTATTGCTCTGCTTAGGGTGGGTGAAGATACTTAACCCCAGTCCCTCCTGGCTGCTCTAGGTACTTACAAGCCGAGGCCAGCTGCATGAACAGCTTCCCATCTCGGCTAATCACCGACCCAGGCAGACCACGTGGCCCTCATTTGGTATTCTCAGTATTGCTGTTTTGAATCAATTTACTTTTATTGAGTCTATTCTGTACTATGTCAGAGGTAGAGACGGAATGCTTGATATTCAGTAAACCTTTCACGAGCTGTGGTCTAAGTTTTTCTCTTTCTCTCTCACAGTGTGCCATGCCGAGCTGAACGCCATCATGAACAAGAACTCAGCCGATGTGAAGGGATGTAGTATGTATGTCGCCTTGTTCCCATGTAATGAATGTGCTAAGCTCATCATCCAGGCAGGTAGGAAGTGGGCCTTGCCATTTGTTACATTTGCATCCATGCCTGCTCTCAGCAGCTCGGTGCAGATGTGTTTGATCCTAAATCACTATTGTTTAGCTCCAAATTAATTGCACTATCAACTTTGCAAGGTATTTCCCGTGTTTTGTTTTTGAATGGTGCCAGGTATTCTAAGACTAATTGCATCCTTTGTGATTCTTAGCATGTTTTTAATTTAGTTTGCAACTTCTTAAACTGCAAGCTGCCAAAAAAGCAACACAGGCCTTGCATATAATTACTGTCAATTTACCGTTCTCTGACATACTGTGCATAGATTAGGGGGGAGGGAGGGAAATGAACTTCTGTCAGAAAGAAGGTCAGCTGGGAGTCTGTATATCAAATTTTAATTTGTACCTAATACATGGTAGATATTTGAGGATCTAAGCATATCTTTGCATATAAATAACATGAGACTCCAATGGTACTACCCCAAGCTTTTCTTTTATTTCATTACAGCTACCATAAATCTACCACATTGTATTCTGAATATCTCACCTTTTTCAAACTGTCACATCTAAGAGTGAGCTATACTTTATCTCCATAAAGCTCTCAGCTTGAGATTTAAAGACTTAGCATGTTTAGCCAGATGTGTGGGTTAAAGGGGCTGTTTATCATGAGCCCCGTGGGTGTCAGAGCAGAAGTCAGCTGATAGCAGGCCACAGCCACTGTTAAGGGGACAGTGTGAACACCAGTGCTGTTGCCACTGTCTGCCCCATCCTTTTGGGATGCCTCCTTGGCCGTCTGCAGGTGAAGAGGTTGGCAGCAGGTGCACACGCAGTGGGTGTGTGCTATGTGGCCACTCCCTCATCCCTTCTGAAGATGGTACAGCGCAGCCTCTGGCTCTCGGGGCTAGGTTGTCTAGTGAGGCCAGGGAAAGGAAACACATCTGCCCTCTCGCAGAGCCCAGCTCAGTTCCTCTGCGGAGCCTTGCTTGGCAGCTGGTGCTGCTGATCTCTGAATTGGCCAGCACCCTTCATTCCCCCCACATTAGCCTCCTGTGTTCAGAGTAGTTGCCTTGTGAATAAAGAATATTTGCTTATCTGCAGTAAAGAAAATTTGTTAATCGAATCAAAGGCTTGACTGCTTGACATATTTTCACTTTGCATTTGTTAAAAATAAATAAATAAAAGAAAATCCATAAAGACTAGAGGGCAGATTGAATACAGTCTGCTCTCTGCTGTATTAGAAAGCCGCAGATATACATTTTAGTAACTGGACACTGTCTGCAAGGACACTCTAATCACAGGCGTTGCAAGCTGTGTCTGCTTCCATGTCTTTTGCTTTCTGTATTTACTTATCCCTGTTCTTACCTTGGCAGGTATAAAGGAAGTTATTTTCATGTCTGATAAATACCACCACAGTGAAGAGACAACAGCTGCAAGGCTCATGTTTAAGTTGGCTGGTGTTACATTCAGGTAAGTCTGATGTAGACATGTGTTCGGCCTAGTCTGAGGTCTGGTGTCTCCTGGTGGCCCCTGGCTTCCACACTTGGCAGTGTCTTTGGAATTGTGATGGCATATAGCTCTAAAGACTGTTTTGGCAATAGAGTTTTAGGAATAACAACAAAAGTATCTGAAGACAGCCTGTTTAATGGTTACCTTTTAATATTAGTGACTTTCCAAAGCTTGGACTAATGATTCAAGTAGCAAGAAATTTTAAAATGTACTAGTTTTGTGCTAAGACTGCCAAACCTGTATAAATCTTGCAAGCCTGGCATAGTTAGTTTAGGATGAAAGCAACCCACCAGGTTGAAACACCAGGAATTCTTTTTAGAGCATCATTTTACATTAAGATGAGAAGTCCTTCTGGTTTTTATGACTGTCTTTACCCAGCAAAGATTATGTCTTACTTATAAGCTCTGTCATCGTTTATTAGTGGCAGAAGATTCTATTGAGATCAGAAAGCCTTACAAAGCTTTATTGTATTTCTGGTCTGCAGTGGTAGGACTTTTATGATGGGCAACTTCCCTTGTTCACTGTGTTCTTAATTAGAGATAGGGGATATTTCATTTATTAGTTTTATGAAACAGGGTCTCCTTCTGCATAGGCTGCCCTTGAACTGACTGTGTAGCTCAGGCTGCCTCTTGCCTCAGACTCCCAAGTGGCACCACCCACCACACCCAGCTAGAGATAATAGATTTTGCATGATGGATGTCTTGAATTATTATGTCTTGTGAGACTTTAATTGCAATTATTTCCATATTGTCTTATTGACTGACTTTTAATGGAATGTTTAGCCCCCCAAGTATCTTCTTTTCAGTTGTTGTGCACATAATGAGTATAAAAGTATCTTACACTGTATTTTTAGGACATGATTTCAGAGAATTTCTCCTCACTTAAGCTAGTTGAGTTTTGGTTTTGGTTTTGTTTGTTTTTTTTTCTGTTAAAGCCAAAAGAAAATTTAGAACAACTCAAGTTGGTTGTAGAAATTCCTAGAAAATAAGATAAATCTGATGGGAAATAGATGGTAATCAGATATCATGTTGTGCAGCTAACTTGTTAGAAATCCTTTGACTCCCGGATAATTCATGAACTCAGATAGCTGAAGAACATACAAACCAAGCCGCCCCATGCATCTCTTTTTGTCTTAGTCTTTTCTGGTCTGTGTTTCTCTCAGTATGGTGCACTATAATTGGCTCCTGTAGAGATAAAATATCAAGTGAATCCCAGGACATTTTTTTCTCCGCACTGAAAATATAGTTTAAGCCAAAATAAACAAATTGCTTTAACTACTCATTGGAAAATGTCCTTATCTGTTTTGTTTTTCATGTTTAGAAAATTCACACCGAAGTACAGCAAGATTGTCATTGACTTTGATTCAATTAATAGCCAGCCGAGTCAGAAACCTCAGTGAGTTTCATCTCATTAAATCTGCAGAAGATGAGGACTCTCCTCTTCTAAGGAGCTGCTGGCGCCTTTCATCTTGAAGTTACGCATAACTTTTTAATAGCCAGCTCCGCTCAGTAGACATCTAAAGAATATAAAGCCTCGAACCTTCCTCCTGTCACGTGATCTACATCTGTTTAAACTGTTGATTTAGAGTTTAAAATAAGGGGTGTCCTGTCCCCCATGGCTGGAGCGAGGGTGTCTACTTTTACAGCTGGGGTGACCACGGTGGCTCTGCAAGAGCATCAGCTGCCTGCCTTCACTGGATTTCAACAGCTACTCTTGTCGCTACATGGGCTGGAAGGACACATAAATAATTGCTTTGCATTCTTACTGGGGATGAGCAGACACACTGATGTGAACATCTGGCCCAAATGAAGCATCACATGTTATACCCTTGGGGAAATAATAGGACCAAATGATGTTAGCATTAAAGTATTTACTGCAGAGTTGAGGGAACCCCCACCCGCCTACCCAGAAATCTTAGATAGGATGGCACATCTGTCTTGGCAGACGATCAGCACCACTAACCCAGGAATACCCTCTCAGTGCCTATTTTCCTGCCATATGCACAGTAGTGGCATATTAACCCTCTGGGGTAGGGAACCCCTCTGGTTCCAGCTTCTTATGTTTGGTTGGTTGGTTAACACAGGCCTGTTAAATTTAGTTTATCTGAGTAAGGAGTGGTTCCCAGAGGAGGCCCTAGATGAAGCCCTGCTTGTGACAGCTGGGGTTGTGTGGATGGGTGGCATAAAGTATCCCTCTGTCCCTGTTTCTCCAGCTGTTCAGAAACACATCACCTCTGTTCCACAAGTCAGCATCATTCATTTCCAAGGGCAACCTGCAACCAGAGAGTAAATTAAATCCTGTCCTCTAAGAATTGTGGGAAATCCTACCTGGAAATGGTTTGTTCCAGATCTGCTGACAATTGGGGTTCCTTTGTGTCCCTGATGCCAGGCCTTCAGCAACACAGACAGCACCATCCTCTCACTGTAGTTGGGGAATGCACCACTGTGGACCATGTTTTAAATCTCATTTAACGGTTATTAAGCATGCTCAGTGCCTTTGTTGAGAAATGATTTCTTTACCTTAAAGATCTTTTTTAGAGTGCTCGTATTTTTTCATGGGTTTTTATTTTGTCTCTGAGGTTTTTGTATTCTGTGTTCCAGGACTTGACTCCTTACCAATATTATTAAAATTGTATTAAAACCCACCGGCACCAAAACATGTTCATTTGTATATGCTTAGCTCTGCATGTGTAGTTTCTGTCCTATCTACGCAGACTATTACAAAGGTTTATGTGCAGAGAACAGTCAGATGATGTACTGTGGCCATGCCCAGGATGGAGGGGTAGGCATGCACGCACTCATGCCACAGTGCATTATGGAGAACAAAGGGCAGCTTTTGGGGAGTCATCTCTCTCCCCCACCTTGTTCTGAGGCAGGGATTCTCTTGTCCCTCCCACTGTACCACACACTCCAGGCTGCAGACCTAGGAGCGTCAGATGCATGGTATTGCATCTTGTTCTGTGGGCTCCCAGGATTGAACTCAGGTCATCAGGCCAAGGGTTTTACCAACAGAACCACCTCCCTGGCCTGTGGTACATCTTGGTGGATGAGTTCAGTTGTAGGAAAAGGCCCATCAGATAGATCAGTTCCCTCTCACCATGCTTCAGACCCTGAGCCCATCCTTTGCTGCCCCCTTAACCTTATTCCCTAGGAACCTCTTTTTTCTTCTCCTCAACTTCTCTTTTCTAAACCCCTTGCCCTCTGTTTGCTTCAAAATATATAAAACAAAAGGAATATAGAAAAAAAGACAAAGATAGGAAAATATGTTGTAATTTTATGTTGCTGCAAGTTATAAGATGTGAGCCTCGTTAGCAAGAAGTCACTTTTATGCTACATTTGCAAGTATGTCTAGGGGCTAATAAGCCAGTGGTGCTTTATTTAATTTTGATGCTATGTTATATTCTGTCTCAGCTTGTTACACTGAATTGTAGTGAAAAATAAGCCACTGTTTTTCTCTTTAGGAGTACACATGTGGTGACAGGCTGTGGCTAGGTCGTTTGAGGGTGCTGGTGCTGTTGGTGCAGGTGGACGGCCTCCACCCCTGGACTCTCCCAGAGCCTGGAGTGCTGCTGTCTGTCTGTACAGTAGGTAATTATATCTCAGTCTCTGCCATCACTCCATGAAGAGTGGACTTGCCCTGTCCAGAGGATTCTGTGGATGTCAGTGCTCCAGCTGACAGAGTTTTGCTTTGAACTGATGCCTTTGAGAGAAGCATTCCAGGAGGAAGAGGTTTGAGCAGTCTTGCCTCGAAGGCATTACTAGATAATTGTGGTGAAGGGAGACTGTATCTGAGAGATAATGTTGCTGCCTGTCATGGCTAATAAATGACAATAAGGCAGCCATCTTTCACTGAACAGTTGGCAGAACTATATTTAAAGGCAGAATTTGAGAGTTAAATGATAGGGACTGTTTCCCTGACATTTTATATTTTTTCCCCTGCACATTTCCTTAAACACTTCTGAAACCCAGCAAGACCTAGCAGTGAGAATGATCTGACTTATTAGCCATATTTTCCTAGTGAAGAATAAAGAAAAAAACATAGAAAAGTGTCATGAATAAAAATGTAGACTCTTTTGCCTGGTGGGTCAGGGATAACTTTTGATCTTCTAATGTCTAGGTCTACTAGAGGATTAAAACTATTTAGGATGATCCAGGCATGATGGTACATGCCCTTGATCCCAGCACTTGGGAGATAAAGGCAAGCTGATCTCTATGAGTTTGAGGCCAGCCTGGTCTATGTAGAGAGTTCCAGGCCAGCTGGGGCTACAGGGAGATCCTGTCTCGAAGAAGAAAAAACAGGATGAAGCCAAGTGCAGTGATCCAGGCCTATAATCCCAGCTTTGGGTGTCTAAAAAAGTACTTTTTTTTTTAGAATGATGAAACACATACATTGTTGCAAAAGGGTGCAAGGAATACAGGGAAATAATTTTCAGGCATTTAATATTACACAAGTTTTACTGTTTAAATATTTATTATTTCTTTTTTAGTTTTATTTGTATGAATGTTTTGCCTGTATGTGTACAAGTGTACCATGTTCATGCAATGCCCACAGGGGCCAGAAGAGGGTGTCAGATCCCCTGGAACTGGAGTTATGGTCAGTTGTTAGCTGCCATGTGGGTGCTGGAAATTGAATCTGGGTCCTCTGGAAGAACAGCAAGTACCTTAACCTCTGAGCCATCTATCCAGCCCAAGTTTTACTGTTTTTAGTTACCATTTTCTAAAAATAGTGAGGCCGCTCTAGAAATAGTTTCTGTAAGTCATTAGCAGGATGCCTGCCTCAGGCTCAGTGGAAGGACCGGAACTCAAGTGAAGAGTACTTTGCAAACTCATCTCATCTGGGAACCATGATGACTAGTTGTACAGGTGACCAGCTGTAGACATGCAGGCAGAATAGCTCAGGCCCAGGGGTTTGGGGGCTGGGATGACATTTAGAGGAAAAGGCATAGCATTAGCCTAGATGAGAGCTGCCAGGAATTCTATCCAGTGCTCTTACAGATCTATTGATGGTGTGCAGAGCCATCTCTTCTGAGAGAATGAATCTCCAAATATTTACTGAGTACTGACCATGCACTGGGTTCTCGATGGTACCAACTTAGGCTTAAAACAGATTCTGGCTAGATATTAGAGTATGAGATAGATGAAGCCCAGCGCTGCCATCTTCATTAAGCAGAGTAAAGCTCTCCACTATCCAGGCACCTAAGCCATGCACACACAACCTGCACTTTATTTTGTCTGCTGTTTATGTTGATATACATTAGAGCTAGGTCATCGGAGGGGGAAGAGGGGCTGCCAGAGCCTGTTGTAAAGGATTTGAAAGTTCTAGAGTCTTTATTAAATTGAGTTAAATGCTTCCATGGAAAGTTGGGGAGAGAGGCTCTGTGTTGATTAAAGCAAAGGACATTATCTGCACATGACTCAAGAATGGAATTACTTTTAGAGACCAATGATTTTAGGCCTGGGCCTTGAACAAGGGTGTTGCCCTTGTTTTTGTTTGGCAACTACTAAATCTCCACTTTCCAGCCCTGTGCTCCCTCTTGAGTCAGGTCCACATCCTCTCCTGCTGCCGTTCTTTTTAATTAAAAAAAGGTGTTTTTTTTTTTTTCCTAATTTATTTTTATTTTATGTGTATGAGTGTTTTGCCTGCACATATGTTTTAAGTGCGCCATATACATGCAATGCCCACAGAGGCCAAAAGAGGGCATTGGATCTCCTGGAACTGGAGTTATAGACAGTTGTTAGCCATCATGTGAGTGCTTGAATTCAAACATGGGTCTTCTGCAAGAACAACCAGTGTTCTTAACCACTGAGCCGTCTCTCCATCTCCTGCCCCTTTTCATAGTAATTCTAAATCCCATTAAGTTGGCAATCTTGATAACCATCATGGATAAAGTTAGTTAAGCATTTCTTGAAAATGATTTTCAAAATGAAATAAGCTGCATATGGTTATATCTGTTTTCCCAGCTTGAGAGTGAGACAGAAGGATCACATAAATTTGAGACCAGCTACACAGTAAATTTCTGAGCTCTATGGTGAGACTGTCTCAAAACAAAGAAATAAAGAGTCATAAAATAATTTATTTTTATTTTATGTGTATGAGTGTATTGCCTGCATGTATGTAAATGTACCAGTGTTGTGCAATGCCCATGGAGGACACGAGAGCGTTGGCTCACCTGGAACTGGAGTTTACAGACAGTTGTTAGCTGCCTGTGGGTGCTGGGATTTGAACCCAGGTCTTCTGGAAGAGCAGCCAGTGCTCTTAACCTCTGAGCTTTTAGCCCCTTTTTTAATTTTAAAAAAATTTCTAAAATGCATATAACTAAGTTTTTGATCTTCACCATTTTTCAGTTCAGTGGTACTAACCTCATTCTCATTGTACAACCTCTGTCCCATCCAGCTCCAGAATTTAGGTTTCCAAACTGAAACTCCATATCCATTAATAACCCCCTCTAGCTCCCTGGTACCTGGTACCCCCCACTACCTAATAGTGTAAATGGAATCAGAATTATCTTGTGATGGCTGCTTTACTTGGCGTGTCTTCAGGGTTCATTGATGCTGTAGCCTGTGTTGGAATACCCTCCACAAGCTGAAGATATCCTACTGTAAACACAGGACATTTTGTTCATCGATTCGTCCACCAGTTGACGTTTGGTTGTTGCCTTTTGGGCTGCCCTTCTCTTGTGTTCTTCTTACCTGGATTATCTCCCTCAACCCTGAGCACCTACCTCCTCTTTACCAGTCATCTGTGCTAAAGGCTGTTTTTAAACCAGCATTTTTCCCCTTTTGTTTTGTTGTTGTTTTGAGACACAGTTTCACATGGAAATTTTTATGTAGTCCAAGCTGGCCACCAACTCTCAGTCCTGCTGATTCAGCCTCCTGAACGCTAGGATTATAAGTGTGTGTTACCACACCTGGCTCTTTGTGTCTTTGTATACGTGTGTTTGCCTGTGTGTACACATGTGGAGGCCAGAAGTCAATGTTGGGTGTCTTCCTGTACCACTCTCCACTTTATTCTTTGAGACTAGGTCTCTCACTGAACCTGGAACTTACTGATTCAGCTAGACTGGGTGTCCAGCAAGCCCCCTAGATCTCATTGTTTCCAGCCCCCAACCCCACCTCCTCCATTCTAGTCCCTGCCCCTGCCAGGGTTTACAGGCATGTGTAACCATACCTCGCTTTTTTAGGTGGGTGCTGGGGATTGAACTTAGGTCCTCAGGCCTATGCAGCAAGCACTTTACCACCGAGCCATCTCCCCTGCTCCACACCTAGCTCTTAAAGCAGCATTTCCAAGAGATTCTCAGTGCACTTTGGCCATTCACACATTTCTAGCCATCTTTCAGGACTGAGCTGGAATCCCACCTCTATAAATTCCTCAGACTTCCCTTACTAACAGTCACTTCTTTCCTCTTTGAAATCCTCCAACAGATATTGTCAGCAGCAATCTTTTTGGCAATGAACCGTGCACTGTTTTATGACATCTTTTCCACTGTCTGGAAATGTTATTGAAACATTTCATTTCACGTTTCACATTTGTCTTTTCTTGCTCTAACTCGGTGGTAAATGCCACAAGAGGACACGTGTTGTCTTGTGTCTCATGTACCCAACTGCCTCTCTTCCCCACACTTTGCACAGGACCTGGTACAGAGTTTAATCTATGTTT